TGCTCTGCCTCTGGAGACCCTCACTACATCACCTTTGATCGTAAGGCCTATGACTTCCAAGGAACCTGCCGCTATGTTCTGGTGACCCTCTGTAATGCCACTGATGAGCTCAATCAGTTTTCCGTGGAAGCTAAGAATGAGGCATTGAATGGGCATTCACTTTCAACAGTAGCTGAAGTTTTTGTGAATGTGTGGGGCTATGACGTGCATATGTCAAGGGACAGAAGAGGTTTGGTACAAGTAAGTAGATATGATATTACAGATTAGATGACTGCAATGAATAATTTCAGATTCATGACGTAAACAGCTGCTACATGTTTTAGGGATATTTTTACTACTGTCAAAGAAAAAATAACAATTAAAAAGTAGAAAAAATTACCACTGATTTTCTTTGCGTATCTCTTCTAGGTGAATGGAGTAACTAGAAATTTACCTATTGTCTTGAATGAAGGTAATGTGTCTATCTATGCAACAGGATCTCGTATAGTTGCCAGCACTAATTTCGGCTTGAGTGTTACCTATAATGGATATAGTGCAGTGTTTATCTCCGTACCACCAAATTACAGGTACAATTCCCACCCATCAAAGCTACAGTCATTATTATTTGAAATGCTTTAAAAACCAGGATAATCCAATCTACATAAGAGGGTTATTTACTAATAATTTATCCTTATGAAACTAACACAAGGACTATTGTTAACTATTGTCATCAACAGAGAAAAAATATGTGGACTTTGTGGAAATTTTAATGGAAATCCAAATGATGACTTTCACACACCATCTGGAACGATAGTCACATCTCCAGATGAGTTTGGGAGAGCCTGGAAGGTGCCAGGCAACTACACGTGCAATGATGGCTGTGGCTCCTCCTGTCCACAGTGTACCAATGAACAGCCTGCTAGAGATCAGTGTGAAGTGATACAGGCAGCTGATGGGCCCTTCAGTTTCTGTCACGAGGAGGTGGACCCGGCGCCATATTTCAACGACTGTCTGTTTGACGTATGTTTGTCAGGAAATCAAGGCCACGATCTCTTGTGCAGTGCCATTGAATCATATGTCAGTGCCTGTCAGTCTGCTAATGTTCGTATCTATCCGTGGAGGGAGAACACCACCTGCAGTGAGTCAACATGTTGTTTTATTATATTTATATCTAAATTTACAAGAAATTTGCTAACCACTTAACTAATTTGACAACACTCATTATATCCAGATTGTATTACATTAAAAGTGGTATGTCTGACTATTGCCATTT